AATAAACCGATAGTAACAATTATAAACGTGAATATCAGATATATGTGTATATATATATATATTGCATTTATTAGAAAAAGTAAAGTTTAAAATTTATTTTATAGGGTTGATATTTTTATAGAAATATCCAAAACTCAGAAGAAGAAAAAAAGTATAAAAGTGGGAAATTTAGGTTAAAATCGATATATATCATCGATATTTTTTTACACATTCATTAAATATCAGAGAAAATATTAAATCCCATCATTTTCATCTACAACAATTGATAGCGATATCGATATTAAATATATCCAACAATATTTTTTATAAATTACATATCAATATTTTTTAGTGATACTGATATTTTAAATATTGTCACAAACTAATGGAGTAAAGAATCTTATGTTGTTTTTTATATTTATTTTTAATGTATCTTCTCAAGTGCTGCAGCGTGACATGTTGTTGTTTTCTTTCATTTTAATAAACAAATAAATATATTTTGCTGCTGTGGATTGTGGATTGTGGATCCAGATTTCTGACTTGAGTTGAGTGAGGACCAGAGCTTACTTGGCAGACTGTTGGGAAAGGAAAAATAAAATAAAAATGGTAACTGGTGTGCAAGTGCAATTCCAGTAGCGTGATGAGTTTGGCCCAAAATCTGATTTGATACTCTAATGGGGAAGACAGAGATAAACTCCAACTGGATTATGCCCTTAATTTGGCCCCCATACCCTTGCTCCCAAACTCTTCTTAATTTGAGTTACACTAATGCATTTTAAAAACAGATTCAACGATTCACTACTAATCAACATTAAAATTGTTGTTTGGCAACTAAAAAAACATTTATAATTTTATATTATTAATGTTGCGCGTTGGATCTATTTGTTACTCTACTCATTGTCACCATCAGGCTAACTCTAGTTAGTTGCAAGTGAAATTTTTTATAAACTACAAGCAACCTACACACACGTTGTGCGTGTGCAATCAAATTTATAAAGAACAAAGGGAAGCAGACGTCGAAACAGAATACTGGCCAGAGGATATTGTTGTTAGGTGAAGGAGACATGTCCTTCTCTCTTTATTTGGCCACTCACTTTGGATCTGGCCGCAACATGGATGCCACTTGAAATGAAAATCGGTTAAGTTTGAGCAGAATGTGGGGGAAGAAAACTGCTACCCTTGCTGGTTGTGAGGTTTACAAATAAAACAGTAAAAACTTGCTTTTACGAAATTACTTTAATGCCTATATTTTTTTTTATTTTCTAATTTTTGTAGTTATATTTTAAATGATACAATTATAATTTCATTAGTTTTTAGTTATGATTCTATTAATATGTAGTTTATATATTTAATTTAGTCAAGTTTCCGATGTTGTAACCCCTCACCTTTAAACATATTCTTCAAAACCACCTATTTCAGTTAAAAAATAATAATAATAGTAACAAGCAAATAAGTATGATATCTTGGTTAGTCCATACAAATCTCAAATGAGTCGACTCCAATACAATGATATAAGACGACCAGATCGCAACTCCACGTGATATATCTATCAATTGTAAGCTTTTTTGGGCAATTTTGGTCACTCGTGACTCGCGATTCTAGAGCTTTGTTGCCTAATGAAGTTGGGTTATTATGTTAATTAATATTGCAAGTTGCATGTCCAACATATATATACATATACATGCTGTTTAAGGATTGGTATCCCCATTTCAGCCAAAAAATGGGATGGTGCGCACAGCCGTTCGATCTCCTTTAACGAGATCATGCTACTGGGAAAATTTAGAGAAAAAAAAAATGGAGCAGGGTTCCTGTCCTATGGATCCATAATCTTAATATGGATGAGAGATTTTTTATTGTGGTCGGAACATAAGTAGCACGACATGTATCATTATATGTAAAAAAGAATTAATTTTTAAATTATTAATATTTTAATATAAATATCTCACCATTAATAGATGTATCATTTCAAAATAAAATACGATCACATTGAAAAATTTCTCACATACTTTGATATTTCACTTTTGTGGTGGATTGTGGACCACATGGTAATGAGCCAATCAGCAGGAAGCTTCTTTATCAAACAGTGACCCCACGGACTTTGCAGATTTTTCTGCTTCTGTTTCTTTGCTATATTTTTTTTCTGAATCCAGAAGAAAAAAAATGAAAAAGTATCTTTTGGATCTGTAAACATTTGTCGCTTTTATCTTTTGGCTAAATAGCGAAAATGGTTCACAAGATTTGTATAACTCATCATTTTGATTCATGAGATTTCAAATCAATAGAAGTGGTCCATCAGATTGTCTACCATTCATCATTTTGATAATTCCGTTAAAAACTCTGTTAAGTGTCTCGGAGCTCATGGCCGGAAGTTTGGACAATTTTCAAAGCTTCGTAACTCAATCGTTTATTAACTAAATTCGACTCATAATATATTAAAATGAAGATAGAAAAGTGTAGAATAAGATTATACCTATTTGGAAGCCCAATGGTTGACGGAGATGGTCGGAAAATAGCCTCAAAGTTGACTGGTTCGAGGAAAAACTGGAAAATTTGCCGGAAACTGGGTAAACTTTAAACGTTCATAACTTCTTCAATACTCAAAGAAATCAAGTGATTCAAAAACGAAAATCATACTTCTCGACGAGACGAAGAGAATGATACATTTTTCAATGGCTAACTCACCATGCTTTGGCTGGAAAATTTCTTGAAAGTGGCTATCTTGGTCTCAAGTTAGCCACTTTCGGGCCGTTTTCTGGCCAAATGACGACGAGTTAGCCATAAAAAAAGCTAACATTCTCTTCGTCTCGTTTAGAAGTATGATTTTTATTTTTGAATCACTTGATTTCGTTGAGTATTGAAGAAGTCATAAATGTTTAAATTTTACCCAGTTTCCGGCAAGTTTTCTAGTTTTCCCTCGGAATAGTTAACTTTGAGGCTATTTTCCGGCCATCTCCGGCAAACATTGAGATTCCAAATAGGTATAATCATATTATACACTTTACTATATTCATTTTGATATATTATGGGTTGAATTTGGTTATGAAACGATTGAATTACGAAGCTTTGAAAATTGCCTAAATTTCCGGCCATGAGCTTCGGGACACTTAACGGAGTTTTTAACAGAATGACCAAAATGATGGATTGTAGACAATCTCAGAGACTACTTCTATTGATTTGAAATCTTAGGGACCAAAATGATGAGTTATACAAATCTCATGGATCATTTCCACTAGAGTAAACTGTCGATTTGCCCCCTGAACTATCACCCAACTTTCAATTTCCCCCCTGAACTTTTTAATTGGAAAATTAAGGACTTAAACTAATTTTTTTTGGCCAATTTCCCCCCTACAATTAGTTTTTCATAGATTTCATCCAAATTAACGTTAACTCTTATCATGTGCAAACCACGTAACTCTCATTTGTGGACAAAAGTGTCATTTCACTAGACCTTTAGATACAAAAGCTATAGAATCACACATATTTGCATAGGTTTATATTTTAGAAATCTAAGGTTTTCAATTATTTTAAAGAATGAAGCGACCGAACTACCCACACATGTTGTGCATATGCTTCTATTTAACAAAAATTTGGATGGAATGAATGAAAAATTAACAGCAGGGGGCAAATCGGCCAAAAAAATTAGTTTAAGTCCTTAATTTTCCAATTAAAAAGTTCAGGGGAGAAATCGAAAGTTGGGTGATAGTTCAGGGGGCAAATCGGCAGTATACTCTTTCCACTATTTAACCTTATCTTTTTCTTGTTTAAGTAATTAAGAATATTCTTCCTTTTTTCCAAGTCTCCGCTCATTTTGTGCAATTGGATGTATTTTCCTCACTTCCATTATACAATAATTCCAGCACTTAATTTAATTTGTTTTTCCTGCTTTCCTCATCTAATAATCTCATCATTTGGGTTTCATGTGCGTCGTTGAGCTCAATAAGTATGTTAACTTACTATAATATTGTGAGCTTTCATTCTATAACTAATTAACAATAGGAAAATAACTCAGCATATGCTTTAGAACTCATTTGAGAGTGCTTATAAAATAACGGAAAACATTTTTTATTAAAATATTTCTATAACCAATTCTTAATAAAAATGCAAATGCTTTTAAAATCCAGATATATTATACCTAAGAACATTTTCAATTATTTAAAATGTAATTCGGGATGAGTCTTAGTTTTCTCAGACAAAGTTCACATTATTGTACGGTAAGCTTCAATAAGTGACCACGTAAATTAGTTGGTCTTTTTTCTTACATGGTTCGGACTCGATTCAAACTGGGCCAGTGCCAGGTCGCCCATATGATTGTGTATCTCGTACTAGGCCTTGCTGCGTTCAGTAAAAACCCAACTAGGGAAACCGGCATAGCCCACAAGCCCTTTGATGCTAAACGTGGTCTAGCAGGTGCCTAAACTGGCATTTTCCATTCCCAGGGCCATCAAATGGGTCGGGTAAATCCAATTCATCGCTAATATGACGCATTTAGAAAGTGCTTTATGATAAAGTGCTTTTATGACCGATAAATCTGTCTAACTTTTTGTGCCAAATCCAATACTAAGGGTTTCATGCAATAGTTCTTTATTCATATTCGCTTAATCCTTTGGTTAAATTTTTACATCAAACATGAAAACCGGGGGTACTATCCAAGTGTGGATGTTCACTTGTTTGGAGTAATAGAAGTCTTGAATCAAAACGATACTTCGTTATTTAACTATGAAATAAACTATCATTCTTAGGTGATCTCTTAAATAATTCTTTAAGTAATTGATTTTTTACGTCGGATCGATCCACTAACATAAACGTATCATGACTCAAAACAATACAGTAACATACCATAAAAATCCACCCCAATTTAACCTACAAAACTCATTCTCTTTTAAAAATGGAAACAAAATAGACAGCAGCAAGTAGAAAGGCGACCGAGAGGAGAGAAATAGTAGATGGGACTTGGACGCATAAAATACATTCTATACGTACGTACATATATTTGAGGTAGTGAACTTACAATCTACGCATTCTTTTGCTTCACCTTCCCACTTTGTTGCTTTTCGGCAATTTATTCCCTTTAAACATTCGACATACACAGTTACACTCCCCTCCCGCTCTCTCTATGTGCCAAATATTTCAAGACAAAAAGTGTAAGGCACACACTGCGCACGCATTTCTTTTAAATCCAACTCCTTTTTTCCTGGTTAAGTATCAGCAGTAGCTAAACGGGTTCAGTCGGGACGTAGTGGGCGGTGTCTCTCGTATTAATTTAGTTACTCAGCAACTGAAGAGCGGTGTGATCGCAAAGATGGAAAAGCTTTCGGCAGGGTTGAGCCACCTCTTCATGACAATCTTTCTGCACAACTTCGCCACGTTCATGGTGATCCCGGCCATCACCGACGTTACCATGTCTGCTCTTTGTCCCGGAAGAGATGAGTGCTCCATCGCCATCTACCTCACCGGATTTCAACAAGCGGTACGTACAATTTTCTACACATAGATACCATAACCCAACTCAACGAATCAACTTAAACCGTCTACGTTAATTACAAACACATATATCATTGTTAACATCAATAGTTGTTTCGTTATTTCCACCACAAGCAAATTGATATCAGTATACAAGCTAGCTTTAGCCTTTACAAATATCTTCTCCTTTGAAAATCATGTCTTAGGGTTATCGCCCGAGTTTAATTTTCAATTGACTTAGTTGTGTAGCTCATTAAACATCACTTGATCTTTTCAAGGTTCTAAAAGACGCTAGACGCTAGTTGAGAGGTTGACTGTTCCTAGTGTCCAGACGGTTATAATAAAAATTACAAAATTGTATACATAAATTGAAAAATAAAATAACATAAAGATTGTAAAGTATTAGAACATATTGAAAACATGTGGAACAAGTATATAATAAGTGTTCATCCAAGTATTCAACAAGTCTCTTATATTTTATTAAACAAATAAAATGCAAAATGAAAATTATCAATTTTTTGTCCAAATGAGAGTCGCAACCTAGACGTGCCAAGCTGGCGCCTAGGCAAGCTAGGCAAACTCCTAAACAGGTCTAGGCCTACTTTCTTAATTTTCAAATATTTAAAGATTAATCGGAATAGTAACCAACCGCCTAACGCCTAAGCATGATCTAATAGGTGCTAGACGAAAATTTTTAAAACTGTGGATCCTATCATAAAAAATAATTACAACGCTCAAACAATACAACTTCAAAAAAAAAAAAAAAAAGAACTTAGTATTGCAAAGTGCAAACCCAAATATCTATGTAATGATTTGATCAGCTAAACTAACTTAAGTGATGTCAATTCTCAATTGCAGCTCCAAAACTTTGTCTTTGTTTAAAGGAAACTTCCCCTTACCTTTGCGTAGGCTTTAAATCAACTTTTAGATTCAATAGGTCTTTGAATTTAAGGAGGAGGGGACGAATTTTCAAAATTAAGGGCCCACCACAAACACACTTTTCCAGTCTAACTAGATCCCTTCTGTTATGCTTTCATCTCTTTCCACATCTCACTAAATGCAGATTGTGTCCAAGATTCCAACATAGCCAGTGCATCGACGGTTGGTCTACACATAACCCCCTTCATAGAATTCCGAGAAATACGTTTTTATCACATATTTTGACATTTATTTATGAGACTCATTTCGTAATATATTTCAACAATCCGAATCGTCTATATTTTAATAGCTCATTTATAGATAATATTTGCAAAAAATTAGACAAATCCAAAATCATTAAGACATTCATCTATAGTGAAGAAAATAGAAGAATAAGGTTCTACAAATATATACTAAATTTAATCCAACGGCCATATGTTTTCCAATTTGGATAATTTTTTTGTAGATATAATCTTTGATGTAAGATACAGTTGAATCGTTGAAATATATTATAGAGTGGACATAATAAAATATGTCTCAAAATGAATATAAAAAATATGTGTTATATATATTGTGGGAAAAACCAGAATAAACTTTTAATTAGCAAAGATTAGTTAGCGTGATTAGCGTTGGCCATGAATGCTTACGGATTTCTACTTGTGGCTACACAGCCGACACTGTAGTGTGCGAAGCCGCATGCTCTCACCCTATTATTTTTGCAATCTCATGAAATTGACGTGCTATCGCGGTAGGTATGTACTCAAAGATTGATGCATAGGAAAAAGCTTCACGTGCATGCAGTACTTCCATCGGAAATTTCCCCCTTTTGGTTTTCATAGGAGATGCATTTTGGCATTTTTCAATCGTATTAACTCGTGGACAAAATTGTACATTCCTCATCATCATTTCAATTGAAATGTTTTGAATGTCAACTTATGATGTCTCGGATTTAAATTTCTTTTATTCTTCTCTTAGTCTAATTTAAAATAATAATATATCTTGTAATAAAAAAATAAAAAAATTCTAACGAAAAACTCCAGGTATTGTTTACTTTAACGAAAAATCACATTTTTACACTTAAAAATCAATTATGGTACTATTCACTTTATCCTTTATTTTGTCCTTATGGTTAAAACTCAAAATTTTCAAGCCATTTTCATTAGTTTTTCTAAAAATAATCATCAAATTTTTCCTTGCCCCGATCAAAATAAAGGGCAAAAATACAAAGAAAAACTAAAACAAGGGGGTTTACAATTTACTTTACAGCATCTCCACATGTGAAAAATGAGATGTGTTTATTTTTCTCCTTAGGTTTATACACCATGTGTTTATTTTTGTTCATTAGTTTGATTATGATCTGTTCAGTTTAACGCTAGAAATAAACAAGTGTATGCATGTGGGAAAAAAAAAAGAATGTTCCGAAATTACTTTCTTTGAAAATTTTGATTAGAAATGGATGGTGGGTCTCAACTAATTATTTGGTGTAAGAATTAACCCGGCCCTTGTGCATGATATAGGGTTGAAAATAGTTTGATTTGTGCATGGTTGATGCAGATCGTAGGGCTGGGAACACTGGTGATGATGCCATTGGTTGGGAATCTCTCAGACAAGTTTGGGAGAAAAGCTTTGCTTACACTGCCAATGATCTTCACAATTATCCCTTTAGGTAATCTTTCAGCTCGTTAAATCCGTACCAATTAACAACAAAGATAAAGTCACAAAGGATATTTAGACATAAATTTATGTACTTTTATGATGATTAACTTGTTTACCTATCACTTTATTTATACATTGCTCCAAAAAGTCCTTAATTCCAAGAAAAAATGGCCACATTTCAGGGAAAAAAAAAAGAAGAAAAAAAAGTATTCAATCGCTTTAGCTTTATTTATATTTCTTTTCTTTTTGCTAAACATCAAGCTCTAATTCTAATTTCGACTATATTACATGGAGTTAATGTGAACTAAAGTTTATTGATTTTTGGACAAATTAACGGAATTGTTATTAGTATGTTAAAATGGTTATTCTGTAATCTTGCTTAATTCAAAAAACTAAAAGACGAAAGAGTTGAGAAATTATTTTACACTGCTAATAACAAGACCCGAAAAATCAATAAAAAAACGGGTTAATTGCACAATTATACAGGGATATTGGGATATAGCAGGAGCAAGAGTTTCTTCTACGTCTACTTCGTGGCCAAAACTCTAACCGCCATGGTTTGTGAAGGCAGCGTTCATTGCCTCGCCCTTGCCTATGTGGTAACTTTCTAATCTTCCTCGCTCGTATTTGGGCCTCACTAAGGATTATAAGGCCCATTATCAAACAATTATTTGGGCTTATTATGGGCCTGAGTATGTAAAATGACTAGACTAGGTCCATTTTGTTGTAAACAAAACACTCCATGTTTGTTCATGTTGTTGGTTGTTTGATTTGAAATTTTGATGGAGGTGTGAAATATCAATGATTTTCAGGCAGATAATGTGGCAGAAGGAAGGCGAGCCTCAACATTCGGAGTCCTATCGGGGATTAGTTCCTGTGCATATGTCTGCGGAACCCTCTTCACTCGTTTCCTCTCCACTTCCACTACTTTTCAGGTCCAATCTCTCTCTCCCTCTCTAGGACTCTATCCTCTCTGTTACTATGCTTAATTGTGATCTGACTGCATTTTAATGTTTATAATTATTACTATTACTATTAATAGGTTGCGACGGTGGTGGCGGCTGTGGCAGTTATGTACCTGAGGGTTTTCCTACCGGATTCCAACATAGACAAGAATCTTTCCGCTCCGTTACTCTCAGATGAAAAGATCACAATTAAGGATTCAGCTGAGACTTCAAGTGCTGAGATATTGCAGCCAGCCAAAACATTGCCTTCCTTAAGTGATTTAATCTCCTTGTTGAAAACTAGGTCAGTTACTTTCCTGCTAAGGGTTGCTCTTAATTAATTTGCAGACTTGTAGTTCAAGTAATTGCTTACTCTTAATTGATTTGCAGCACAACGTTTTCGCAAGCTGCAATTGTTGCGTTTTTCAGTAATCTAGCGGATGTTGGCCTCCATGCTTCAATGTTGGTACGTCTCTCATCCAATGAATTAGTAATCACATATTTAATCAGTGTTTGTGGATGATTTGCATCTAATCATAGATCAGTAAGCTCTGTCGAACATAAGAAATGCTGAATCGAAAATCATTGTTTGTTGAGCAGTACTTTCTAAAGGCGCGGTTTCACTTCAACAAGAATCAATTTGCTGACCTGATGGTTATTTCCGGGGTTGCAGGCACTGTTTCACAGGTGCTGCATTTGTTTTACCGTTTTGATCCTCTGCAAACCTCTTTTGTTTTTGCAGTTTCGATTTCATTTTCCATGACACTAAAAATAAAGCTTGATGCAGCTGGTTCTCATGCCCTTGCTGGCTCCTGCTTTAGGAGAGGAGAGGCTACTGTCGATAGGCCTCCTTTTTAGCTGCCTACAAGTAAGCATCTAACCGTCTTGTATTTAGTCCCAACAAGTTACAAATTTGATCTTATTTGTTAGACAATTGTGGATTTGTAAACATTGCATTGCATCTACTCACGGAAAGTAAAACTAAAAATTGGACGTGTCATTAAGCTTTTTATCTAATCATTCACATATCGAATGCAGATGTTTCTTTACGGCATTGCGTGGTCCTTCTGGGTGCCATATGCTGCTGCCATGTTCTCCATCTTTTATGTGTTTGCACATCCATGTGTAAGTCTCATCGTTTCTGCTTCGCTTTGAGTTAAACATCCTCAAATGTTGTCTTTAAAGTGATTTGGTCCAAACTTCACAGATGCGAAGCATTGTATCGAAACAAGTTGGACCGTCTGAGCAGGTAATTTTCAGTATGCATTTTGGATTTTACTTCCCTTGCCCTGCCCCTTTGGATCCAATTCTTTTGGCAAATACATGATCTTTTTTTATACAATATTTTCAGGGGAAGGCTCAAGGGTGCATTTCAGGCATATGTTCACTTGCAAATGTTATATCTCCGATTGCTTTCTCCCCTCTCACAGGTGATTTGAGATTACATTCTTATTTTTGTCCGGCCAAAGTTAATTCGAACTGATAAATTCAAATTGTTATTCCAGCTTTGTTCCTGTCCGAAAAGGCGCCATTTAATTTCCCAGGCTTTAGTCTCATTTGCGTTGGATTTGCTGCGGTAAGAACATATCAAGTTATGTGTACCTGTATATGTTCTGCTTAATTGGCTTATTGTTTCATCTTGTATTTGACATCTATTTGTAGATGATAGCCTTCATGCAAAGCGTGATGATAAGGGCTGCTCCTCCCCTCTCGAGCCGACGTGTCAGCGAAAGTTGCAATCACACGGAGCCCTAGTTTTCGAAAGTTCTAAGACAGATGGTTCCTCGTCTAGTTCCAGGCTGACCCTGGTACATCACTACTGTAAAGCTCAACGGTCCTGTTGTGCTGCTGGCTTAAGTTTTTGCTGCCAATTTATTGACAATGTAATTTTGGTGCATGCTTTGGAAGGGTGACATGGTGGAGTCTGGTTTTCTTGTACTCAAAGTCACCTTCCGCGGCAAACAAAATATGATGTTAAAAATACCAATCATGGAATTTTCCTATCACATGAAGAGAGGAGGTTTTAGAAACATACTTTAGTCTCTATATAATTTGAATTGATGTAAAAACTTTGATGCAGCTTAGTGAATCTTATTAATCAATGATTAAACCATAAAACTTTTGTGAGTGAATGTTAAGCATCTATTTTCTCTCCTCACACGAGAAGAGAAAAACTTTAGTAGGGTTGCCTAATTAGTGCAACACTCACATATGTGAGATTAGTAGAGAGAATCTCATGTTTTTGTGAAATGTGCCTGACAAATGATGTGGTCAGACACCCCTACTCAAGTTTTATTTATTTATTTATTTGTGATGGAGATGCGCATTTAAGCAAAAGAAAGCAAATAGTGGAATCTCATTTCCTTTTCTCGTACAATAAGCTTAAAACATATGCATTAGGTTTTTAGAATAAAAAAAATGCTACTCTTACCACATTTTTCATATCACATTTGTATCATCTCTCTAATAGAGATAGGACTTACATTTGTTGGTGAGCCCTACTTCTAAGAAAGTTGTCCTATCAGGTGAATGTATCATCTCTCTAATAAAGTTGTTTTGTCACGTGAATCAAACTAAACAGAAATGGAGAACTTCACACGGTAATTATACATTAGCAACATAATTTCATAGTTGAATTAAGTTAGGCCTTTTGATACCAATCTGCGCAAATGCTTTCAGGTTTCGGCGTCCCAAAATTTTCAACGGTTTATGATTTACTTGCATGCCAAGGGAATGGTGGTAGATGATGAGTACGTGTCATAGGTTCCGCCAATATCAACCAACGATCTATGGCCGGTTCTAGAGACACCGAGATAGCCATGGGAGCGTACCAGCCCCACCACACTTGGGGTAAGAAGAAACGGCATCCTCTTGGCCAGTGGGTATAGATGTCACTTTGGACAGAACATTTGGGGATGGTGGACAAATGCTTCAAGGAGGCTGAAACGTTGGATTGTGTGAAGAGCATGAACGCGATCGCTGGAGATAACTGGACGAGTTTGTGCACTTACCTTTCTGTTGCGGTAGACGTCAATAGGAAGGTAAGTGCACTTCCTGGACGAGAGAGTTTCCCTGATGTCGGCGGGAAGATCCTCAGAGCCCGAACTACCCTTCCTGAAGCACTCACTACTTAACTTTAAACATTAGGCAGGCTGCAGGCTCCCCCAATTTGTTCTTACATGATTATGTTTTCAACACCATTCAATCGAAAAATGCTGGCCCTGGTTGAAAGAAGAGTCTATACAAAAGGGGTGGGAGCGTACAAGTCTTAGTGACAGATCGATCGCAAGCACCCCATTACTTGAATGAACTTACAATTTAGGGTACATAGCTCTTGTAATTTATCACCTCAATAGTCAATAGTATATAGCCTAATCAAATGTAATTCAATTGATCTCTTCATTTCTTTTTTGTTTTTGGTTTACCATCTGAATTTAGACAATACTGTTTTCTTTATTTAAGTTATATTCTAAGACCGCATACATGCTATCTTAATTAATCGGCCTAGTTAACGGTTTATACACACACAACTGGATAATTAACCACTACACTTTAACATATGTTTTAGGGTCGATTTAAAACTGCTTCTTAAAGAGTTAAAAGTTCTTTTTTTTACTACCTTTGACGGTAAAATACAAGAGAGCAGTGATTTATAGAAGCATTTTTTTTAGAAAGCATTTTTGGTAGTGTTTATAATAAAAGCACTTATAGTAAAAGTGAAAAAAAGTAGTTTCTAGGGAAGTAGTCTCGAACAAGCCTTAAATAACGAAATGAAATCAAAGCTAGCACACAAACTATACAACTTTAAATAAAGAAGTATGGTGAAAAGCATGAAGGCGCTCAATATATAAATGCTTTCACCTCGCACTTTGTCTCTCTCGCACATTGTCTCTCATGGCAATCTGATCATTACAGAAGTCCTACTTTGCCTCCAAAAAAGGAAGCATAAATATTATTAATCAGACAACTGAATTAGTTAACGGTAACTTTGCCGACCATGCCAGCTCCCTGGTGAGGAGAGCAGTAGAAAGAGTATGAACCTTTTTCGGTCAAGGTGATGGCGTAGGTTTCCCCGGGGGCATTCAGGAGGTCCTCCTCGCTCATCGAGATTTTTCCAGCATCCACACCGCTGGGAACCTCGTCCTCGTCAAACAAAACGTTGTGTGGGAATCCAGCATTGTTCTTGAACACAATCTTCTCACCGGGGGCGATGGAGAAGCTGTTGGGGACAAAGGCTAAGCCACCGTCATCGCTGCCTAGCAAGACCTCAATGGCCATGGCATTACTGGCGAGGATAGCACTGGCGGCAGTGGCGGCAACGGCCACACCAACATCCTTGAGGGATGACTTGACGATGCACATCTGCCTTGGGGAGGCTGAGACCTTAGCTGCAGCGTTAACCTTGGCTGCGCCGGCGGATTTAAGTCCGGTGAATGATGGGATAGCGACCGCGGCGGGGTTGACGAAGGCCATTGTATGTAGTTGATTGAATGTGTTCTAGCAAGCTGGTCGCCTCAAGTTCTAAAGGTGATCAAAAGGAGAAGATAGGAAGGGTGTGTTTTAATAGGGTGGGAGGGGGTAGGTTATGTGTGGTGGAGGAATTGGTGATTGGATACAGTGAAGGGGTGGCAATGGGGATGTGGTGGAGACAAGGTTATCCGCTGAGGATGGGTCTGATTGGCTGGTGGAGATGCTATCCGATGACGTGGCACTGGAGTTTATTGATGGGAGGTGGAGAGTGTGAGAGCTTGCAAGTATGTCAAACTAGTGGAAGTGGATAGACAGGAGGACAAACAATCTATGATCTACATATGATATGAATGAGTGGCTGATCTTATCGTTTGGGTTCATTTGGTGCATGTGTGAGATTATGGACTAAATTCGTCTAGTTTCTTGGTGCAAAAGGAACCAAATATTTGATCAAAATTAGCTACTAGACCTTGTGGCTAGCTGAGTCAAAGTTTCGTTACGATCATAAAAAGTTGCACAAGTACATGTGTTATTTTTCTTAGTAAAAATCTTTTAAAATAAAAAAAATCATCGTACACTTCAAATATATTGAATATTGATAGGAGTATTGAACGACTTTTTTCCGAAGTATCTTCTAACAGCTCACTTAATGAAATAACAAACAAATACAATCCGAATAATTTCTTGTCCCCGTCAATACTAAAACTTGGTTGATAGGCCATAGCTTATATTCATCGAGGACCGATGGCGCGTTTATATAACCGTAATGAAAATATGAGGAATTGAATTGATGAGGAATTGAATTGAGGAAGAGTTGGAATGAGGATAAGTCATAATCGAATTCATGTTGAAGCTGTTTACTTAAATGTTCTTAAATCGGAATATAAATGATACTAATTTCATAAAACTATTTACTAATTCAGTAGAATCAGATATAAACTAGTGTGATTTACTAAAATGCCCTCGTCCCAAATCAAATATTTTATATACTTTTTTTTAATAAAATTTAATACAATATATAATAGTAAGAAAAAAAATATTAAATTGCTTTTTTATTTCATAGACACACTAAAATGCTTTTGTTTGTTTTTTTTATACTATAAATTTAAGTATTTATTTTAATATTTAAATTTTCTCGCTCAAGTTGTAGTTTATTCTCTTTGGCATATGCATGGAGTTGTGCATAATATGAATGAGCATGGAAATAAAAAAAGTAAGGAGTTGTGCATAATTAAACTAGGGTTAATGGGTTTATAAATGATAGTCTTGGAAATAAAAAAAGTAAGTGAGAGCATAAAGCGAACAAAAGTATCATTCTGATTGCCCAAGCAATCAATCCAAATACCATGTTAATCTAAGGAATCCAAATCCTTCAAATTTTGGAATTGAATTCCAAAATTTTGAGTGGGTCCCACCTTTTCTTTCACTTCCAAGTTTAATAAACAAAGGTATACCCTGTAATCAAAATTGAATTCCGTATTTTAATTTCGATTACATAAACGTTCCTTGAAAGTAGTATCAAATGAAGTCCGAGGGGACAGACAGCCAGAGAGTGGATTCCCTCACTCAATTGCTTGTGATTTGTGAGAGGAAAATTAACAGTAGCTAGCCGACACCAACTGTACGTACTTACGCAGCAATTAAATTGACCAACGCTCCGCCTTGCTGCATGTACTCTTCTAACTATTTCTTCTCTTTCTTTCTTTGATCCCCACTACCTCTCCCACTCCCACTTCCACAATTTTTTCCTATACTCCATAGTAACTACACGGCTATGAAGCCACATGTGTGCGGTGAAAATTCGTTAGTTACAATTGGACGGACAACCAAGTAGCACAGTTAGACTCACATGATAACATTGGCTATCCAATAAATACATATTTCTGGTTACTGATTTACTGTTTACATTAACGTTATACAGTGAACGTATTTAATTAATTTTTGTTAGACGATAGTACCCCATGGCCTGCTGTTAGTTACATTAACAAAGACGGCGGTCGAAATTGAAGAAAGTTGAGATTCCACCATAAAATCAATTAGAAATAAAGGGAGTAGCCCAATCTCTTATAAGCCCATGCAAGGTCCCTTCTCCTATCAATGTGAGACTTGTTCTCAACACGTCCCCTCACGTGTGATGAATTTTCAAGCCTAACATGTGGACAACGCAACGGGATAACATGGACATGTGGGACAACCTGCTCTGATACCATGAAGAAAGTTGGGGTTCCACCATAAAATCAATTGGCAATATGGGAAGTAGCACAACTTCTTATAAGCCCATGTAAGGTCCCTCATCCCATCAATGTGGAACTCATTCTCAACACGCCCCCTCACGTGTGACGAATTTTCAAGCCTAACAAGTGGACAACGCAACGAGATGACGTGGACATGTGGGACAACCTGTTCTGATACCATGAAGAAAGTTAGGGCTCCACCATGAAACCAATTAGTAATATGGGAAATAGCCCAACCTCTTATAAGCCAATGCAAAGTTCCTCATCCCATCAATGTGTGACTCATTCTCAACACGCCCCCTCACGTGTGACGAATTTTCAAGCCTAACACGTGGACAACGCAACATGATGACGTGGACACGTGGGACAACCTGCTCTAATACCATAAAAAAAGTTGGGGTTCCACCATAAAACCAATTGGAAATATGGGAAGTAGCCCAACCTCTTATAAGCCCATGCAAGGTCCCTCATCCCATCAATATGGGACTCATTTTCAACACGTCCTGTGGCAAATCACGTGTGATGAATTTTCAAGCCTAACACGTGGACAACACAATGGGATGACGTGAACACGTAGGACAACATGCTTTGATACTATAAAGAAAGTTGGGGTTCCACCATAAAACCAATTGGTGGAACCCCAACTTACGTGACAGAACAGAAATGAGGAGTGGCCCACCAAAACCGGAGAGCAAAGTACCAGGGTTCTCAATTCTGTTCTGTCACGTAAGTTGAGTAAGTGTAAAATAAGCGAAAAAAAAAGAAAGATATATAATATATATTCCATTTTGTAAAAGAGAACGAATAAGGAAAAACATCAAACAAATGAATTGAAACAGAAATAAAGAGAAAAAAAATGAAATATTGACCAGATCGATATTGAGAGAGCGAGGAAGAGGGCGGAGGCAGCCGGCGTGAGAGGATGAAAGAGCACTGAGATATTGGCGCGGCTCAATCAGATTCAGGTGACCATAGAACAACGTACGTATCTACGTACATGCAAATGCAGTAAGTAGTCTTCTTCTCTGAGTGAACCGGGCCAACATCACAGTAACGATTTCAATAAGGTAATTGTATATACGCAAAACATTCTATATTTTTCCTGCATGCTGCATCAACTTCATACATACATACATATACATACATACATATATATATATATATATATAATTAAATACCAAATGAAGCAGGGAAAGAAGTTGAAGGATAGGAGGACTGACTGCCGAGGAGGATATATATATATATATATATTGATAATAATGATGGTGAAATTGAAAGGCAGAGGGTGTAGTGAAAGCAATGAGAAAAAAATTGGGGATGTCATGAATCAATATTTAAGGAAGGATTAGAGAGAGAGAGATAGAGAAGCATATTGCAGTTGCAGCAGGGTGCTGGTGGTGCATTAAAAACCGGCAGCTACCGAATTAAAACCCAAATGCCAAAGGACCATAGCAGCATTCAATACCACGCTAACGTCCCATCAGCCCGGCCCATAATATTCTCTCTCTCTCTCTCTCTCTAGATTCTCTCTCTCATCTCTGTGATACACACTTCCGCAGAAGCTAGCTAGGCACAGAAACAACAAGGTTGCAGTTGCAGGGCCTCCACATTAATAACGGAATCTCACTCTCTGCTGGGTTGCAGGATAAATTTCTTCTCAACTCTTCTTATTATTAACAGAAGATGCAGACCCAGAGGCACACGTCTATCTAATATACATCTCGTCTATCTAATATATATATCTCTCTCTCTCTTCAGGCTGCAGCACCAGCAAAAACACAAACACGTTAATCAAAACTAAAAATTGAATTACGTACGTTAAATTAAATTAAAGTAAAGGGAATATCAAATGAGTTGTCAAATAACGCCCCCACCACCCCCCACAACGGCCATGCAAAACGCTTGCTTTTTATTATTATCTCCCTCTTTAGTCTTTATTGAACCAACTATTTCATCCATCTTAATTGCTAGTTGTGGAATCTCGTCAGTACTCACAGTGGCGATGCCATTTCTGTCCCTTGCTTTCTGTTTACTAATTAATAACCGCGGGATATGGAGACTGGAAGAGGGAGAGAGACTTCAGTTGAGTTAGCCTTGCTAATTAGTTAATTCTTGAGTTGAGGAAATTCACATTGCACATCTGATTCATTTTCTGCTAAAAAAATTGGGAGACTAGGTAGTTGATCATGTTTAAGAACATTGTTTAACTCTTTACGTATGTAAAGTATTATTCAACTCATTGAAGGACCGTTTGATTACCATACTATTTTTTATTTTTAGTTTGATAACCAATTTTACATTACAAAACATGTATTAATCTACTCTCGAAGCTCAATATCTAGGCTTCTAACTTTGACCTTGCCAACTGACTCTTGTTATACCTAATTCGAACCCAGGACCTCAAGACTAGCTACCAACTTAATATTTAACAAAAAAATCATCATTACTCTAAAAATATGTGATGAATATTTTGCTACACGTTTTTTCATTTGTTTCATTTTCCGCAATAAATAAAAACAGAAACAATTAACAAAAACTTTCAATCCATCATCATTTATCTTTGGGTAAAAGACTGTTTACTACCCTCATGTTTCGTGATTTTCAACATTTAGTACATCAATTTTTTTTCGTCTCAAAGTCATACCTAAAGTGTAAATTTTGGGACAGTCTCATACATCCGTTAAGTTTTTCGTTAGAAATTCTGTTAAGTGATGAGTTGGCGCCCATGTGGACAATGACTGGGCGCCACATGTCAATAAGGGTTCCACGTGGATATTAAAAATAATTAAAAATTAAACATTAAAAAAAAAAAAAGTTGTCTTCTTCCTCAACCCTCCCTCCCTTCTCCCTCCCTTCTCTCTCAGAGCACCCACCCAACCTCTGCACCTTTCACGTTCCACCGGCACGACAACGCATGTCATCGAGTACCAACCCCACCACTGCCATTATCCTCCTCCGCCGACTCACCCCGGCAACCGACAAAATTATAAAATAAAATAAAAAAAGAAGAAGAAAAATAGAAAACCAGGCTACCGTCTTTCTCTCTTCATACCTTTCCCACCAGTAAACTCCATTGATGAACCCTCTAATCCAGTAAACCCCCACCTCTTAGTTTCTCATACCACTTTACAAAAACTAGATGAAAAACTCTATAATGGCAAAATAGAAAAAAGTCAAGATGATTCGCTCTTGAATTGAACCCTTTTCCTCTGCAAAATCCAAAAAAGCATCAATTGCATCTACTATGTATTCCCAGATTTATAATCAACCCATTGATTACTGAAGAACACTATAATGCAAGCTCCAAATCTGAAAACTTTTCAATTTCTAGGAAACATGGATCCCGATTCAGTGAAATCCACCCTCTAAAATCTAGCATTCGAAAATGTAATGACCGCAGCAGTCCGTAATCACCCCGGCAACCGAAGTCCCAGTTCAGCTTCTCCACCGCCGATCTCGTCCTCCTACTACCCTACTGCCCCCCACACAGCGGCCCCTCTGCCCACCGAATCCTCCACCGCCGGATTACTCGACTGCTCGTCCGACCCGATCTCTCCACCGGCTGGTTCAACTGGTTTATTCGGCTCCAAACCATTACCCGTACCCGCATATCTGGTTCCAGGTTCCTCGGGTTTCTGATCTGTCGTGTTCGAATCGTCAAACTATTGCCGTCGTGCACCAAGAAATCGGAAAGAATGGAGGGTGTTCTCGGATTTTTCTACAGAGGGGAATGGGTGGGTGTGCACTCACCCACAACCACCTCTTCTTCCAGATCAGAGCCGTCAGCGCCATCTCTGTCGAACGTCATCGCTCGCACGCCATATCTCTGTTGAATTGAATTCGGAAGTTTTGGATTTTGATTTTGATTTTGATTTAGGGTTTTAGTTTTCAGAAAGGGCGAAAGACAGAGGAACAGAAGGGAGGGTAGGTGCAGAGAAGAGAAGGGAGAGAGAAGGGAGCGGGGGTTGGGGTGGGGAAAACGATAGGGTTTTTTTATTTTATTTAATTAATTATTTTAACAAAAAAAAAATTCCACGTGGACCCACGTGGCGCCCAGTTATTGTCCACATGGGCGCCACGTCACAGTTAACGGGAGATTTAACAGTTTGACTAACGGATGTATGAGACTGTCCCAAAATTTACACTTTAGGTATGACTCTGAGACGAAAAAAAATTGATGTACTAAATGTTGAAACCCACGAAACATGAGGGTAGTAAACAGTCTTTTACCCTTTATCTTTATACCTGAAAACTCAAAAGTAGAAATTAAAAAACTGAAATAGCTTTTTCAAGACCATCCAAGTCTTTTCATTATACAAGGTAATTTACTTGCTCGACCATAGGGAGAGATAGCTTGCTTACTTAGTGTGAAACACTAACAACACTTTTTTTTTCCTTCTTCTCTGTAAACGCTAACAACACTTCAAAATTAGAAAAGAAATTGTATATGTACACAATTTAAGCATCGTTCTCTATAAATAAATATACTTTACGTATAAAAAGTCACAGTAGTTATCGACACTCTATAAACATCTTGAATCTTGTACGTATAAAAAGTCACAGTAGTTATCGACACTCTATAAACATCTTGAATCTTGAGGCACCCCTTTATGTATATGTTCTTTGTCATTTTCACAAGTAAAACCCATAATAACCTTTTAAGAAGAGATGACTTGTCAAAATCACCCTCTGGACAGAAGTTTCTGGGCCTAGTTAGTTTTAAAATTTAAAGAAGAAGCTAGCCCAACTTTTTTTTTCTTCTAAATAAGGTAAGAACATTTTTCCACAAGCTAGCTAAGCTATTCTAACACTTTGAACAGTCACTCGCTAAATTTAGCTAGAAAGAGAGAGAAATTAGAGTTGAATATCAGAGTGCGCAACGAACGAGACTAACAAAATAATAGGAATGTTATTAAATAAACGAGAATGCCGGAACGGCTACAAAACCCTAAGAGGCTACATTGTGACTAACTTATTCTAAACTGAATAACAAGCATGCTATTTATAATAAATTAACCCTAACCTAAAAGGTAAGAAACGGAAACCCTAGTGCTAACGGGCTAAACTCAAAAAACCAAATATTCAAATAAACTAAAATCCTAATATTTTCCAACAATTAGTACACTCCTTCGCTTGAGAGGGCACAAGATGTTCTGATGCATAAGAGATTACTGCATGTGGCACATGACCCTGCCACTAGACCCGCAGTCCAAGTTCGTCTTGGACAAGGAATTATTGGCATAGGAAGTTATTTGCTTAGCCAATCTTTTATGCAGGTTTGTTATGCTTCCGGTTCAAATTCATCGAGGAAAGCGAATGTCAATGTTCTGCTGCTGCCAACAAAGAGAGGCACGGCTATATGAATATTTATTTGGAGTTGGCTTTCTCTATTGCAAACATTGATCTTTACATCTCTCATATGGCACGTTATTTCTTATGTTTCAGTCATCCACCGCCAGCTTTTGGTTTGTCACCAGACCTTGAACTTGCTCTTGAAGCTGACAGGTTACAGATAACTCCGTGTATGCCAGTCAACTGTTTACAAGGTAAGTAGGTTGAAATACGTTCTTTATGATTGTCATCATTTTCACACAATGAAGTACACGAAAGAAGATACTTCTCCTTTTTGCAGTATGATCTATACTGCCTTTTATACCTATCATTTCTATATATATATAGGAATGTCTCGTATGACTTTGTTGTGTCTGAGAAGATATTTGACAGGAAGGAGTTCCAGCAAATAATTTGATTGCTATAGTTTTGCATTGTTCTTATATAATTAACGTTGCTATACTTCAAATTTTACTGGTCGATGCATGAAATTACTATTTCCACGAATGACAAGCCCAAACTCCTCAGTGAGGTGGATTTGTTTTCCCCTTTTTAATATATGTTTAAAATTGATGTTCTGCAATGTCAATCAATCGAATGTGGTTTTCAATCGAATGATGTAAACTATGGGTAACACGTTAAACGTTTCTTAGTTTTGCAAGTATGTGATGTGATTCACTTACAGTTCCGAATCTTCTTACATATGTAAGGTGATTATTGTT